ATTAAGATAATTTGAGGTGTACATTATAATCCCTAATCATTTTAGTTTTTTATTAAACATCTCATTTTGTAATGATAGTGGGAAGTTGAAGGTTTATAGTTCCTTCTAGGATTGTGTTTTTCTTGAATTCTGATTTTTATTAGGCTTCCATTCTGTTACAACTCTCCTTGATCAATTTTTTGTTGTTACTAAAAAGCATATTTAATAGTTTTCAAAATAAGTTGCTGCTTTTTTCTATTGGAAAATTTTTATCTATTGGAAAATTTGTTGAAAATTAGTATTCAGAGCTTTAAAAATGGTAATGGGATTTTAGATAGCAAGATTTGGGTAACTTTGGAACAGGAACAAATGGCAAGAGAACGTAAATAATTCTAAGAGTTTCAATAATCTATCTATTAGAACTTGTTTGAAACATAGTGTTATTTGAATACATTTGTGCTGAACTTATTTAACCTTAGAAGGAAGTTACTGGATAGTGTATTTAAGTTGATTTTTTTCATCAAACAGTGGAGTTACTGTAGTTTGATTTTTCTTAACTATGCTTTTAACATACAGATTTAACATCTAAAAGATTTTGTAAAGCATATCTAGCAGATACGCTTTTAGAAAAGATTATTTGATAAATGTTGCTTCCTACATGACTAATGTTTGAAATCAAGGAATACTTTAAAGACCCAGAGGTATTTTTGTAGAAGCTTGGATGAATATACTTTTATTTATATGTACCTAAAAATACCACAATTGTATCGCTCACATCTATAATTAATATTTCCTTATCCAGAGATATTTCACACTGGCACTGTGAACATTTGTGCAGGAAAAGAATCAGTGGGTGGTTAAGTCTTTTGAATTACAGACTATGGTTGATTTTAGAATGTAGGGTATGGAAAAATTCTTATAAGATAGGAAAAGTCTATATGTTTTAATCAACCAGTATTTATTTATTTATTTATTTATTTATTTATTTATTATTTATTTTGAGACAGTCTTGCTCTGTCGTCCAAGTTGGAGTGCAGTGGTGCTATCTTGGCTCACTGCCACCTTTGCCTCCCAGGTTCAAGCGATTCTCCTGCGCTCAGCCTCAGATAGCTGGGAAACAGGTGTGCGCCACCATGCCTGGCTATTTTTTTTTTTAGTAGAGACAGGGTTTCACTATGTTGGCAGGCAGGTCTCGAACTCCTGACTTCAAGAGACCTACCCGCCTCGGCCTCCCAAATGCTGGGATTACAGGCGAGACCACCATGCCTGCAAATTATTAGTATATTTTCTGAATAGTATTTGTGCTAGGTAGCTTCAGAGCCGTATTTTTGTAATCTGATAGGATACTTTTATACGCATTTTGGGATGATTGTTTTTAGCAGAGCCAAACAATGTTTTATCTTTGTACAGCATTTTCTTCCTCAGAGATGTTTTCCTGAGAAGAGTAGTCATTCAGATTTTTAAAATATTGTACTGTGTGTCATCACCTTGCTAAGAACATAGAGATGAATATGACATGGTTCTCTCCCTCTGGGAAATCAGTCATATGGGGGAGCTGACAAAAGTGTTTAAAATAATTTTATTTAAAAAGTTAAAGTTATTTATTATGATAATTACATGCAAATAATTGTCTACTGTTAATCATCCTAGTTACCTCTTCTTTGTCACCATGTTACGGAGACTACTTTTATTTTTTAAGTTAGCAGTGACCTTATTTCCAAATTTTATCAGTATGTTTTGGTTTCATTATGATATCTTCTCTGTAGCATTCAGCATAGTTGAATGAATCCTCCATCCTCGAGATGATCTTGATTTTCTTCCTGTCTCCACTGGCTGATCTTTCTCTACCTAACCTCTCAATGTTAGAGTGCTCAGGGCTTTGTCTCGACCCCTCCTTTTTTTTTTTTTTTTTTTTAAAAAAAAGACTAGATTTCTCTCTTGTTGCCCAGGCTGGAGTGCAGTGGCACGATCTTGGCTCCACTGCAACCTCTGCTCCCAGGGGGGGCGACGCCCGCGAGGCGTGGTGGCCGCGGCAGCCTCCCGAGTAGCTGGGACTACAGGCATGCACCACCAAGTCCAGCCCATTTTTGTGTTTTTAGTAGAGAAGGGGTTTCACCATGTTGGCCAAGATGTTCTCGATCTCCTGACCTTATGATCCACCCGCCTCGGTCTCCCAAAGTGCTGGGATTACAGGCATAAGCCACTGCGCCCGGCCGACCCCCTTCTTTTTATCTTCTTTCGTCTGTCTTTGGGAATCCAATCCTTTTTCAATAGTATCTGTATGGTGATGATTCCTAAATCTATATTTTCAGCACCAACCAATCATGAGATTTCTCACTCTGTTGCCCAGGCTGGAGTGTAGTGCCATGATCACAGCTCACTGAGGCCTTAACCTCCTGGGCTAAAGCAGTCCTCTCGCCTTGGCCTCCCAAAGTTTGGAATTACAAGCATGAACCACTCTGGATGGCCGAGAACTATCTTTAAAACAATAATCAGGTCACTTGCCTGTGAAAAATCCTCTAGTGGCTTCTTATCATGCCTAAAATAACATCCATATACTTCCTACTTTGGCTAAGTCCCAAATGATCTGGCCCCTACTTCCCTCCCTGACCTCATTTACTGTCACTCATCCCCTTGTCCACTACTTCACTTCGTTATAGTTAACAGAACTTCTTTTTTTTTTTGGAGACAAAGTCTCACTCTGTCGCCCAGGCTCGAGTGCAGTGGCACAATCTCGGCTCACTGCAACTTCCACCCCGCAGGTTCAGGACATTCTCCTGCCTCAGCCTCCTGAATAGCTGGGACTACAGGCATACGCTGCCATGCCCTGCTAATTTTTTGTAGTTTTTAGTAGAGGTGGAGTTTCACTGTGTTACCCAGGCTGATCTCACAAACTCCTGAGCTCAGGCAATCCGCCTACCTTGGCTTTCTTTTTACTCTTGGAAATACCAAGTTCATCCCCACTTTAGGGCCCACCCCTTTGCCTGGAATGGTTTCCCGCTTTTCACAATTTTAAAATAGTACTGTGTGCCAAAGACTGTTCTCGTTGCTGAGGATAAAGCAGTGAATAAGAGACAAGGGCAGACCCTGAGGCATTTTTGTTATACCTCTTATCTGATGGGTTCCTTGAAGGTGCAGTCTAAAATTCTGTATTCTTTGAAACTACTTCAGCTTGCTCTCAGTAGCTTCCTTTTTTGATGTACAATTTATGTAATTCATTCAATCTCTGCCTTGATGGAGCATACATTGCGGGCAGGATGGAGGTCACAGTAAACAAGATGGGTAAAATGTGTGTTGGATGGTGGCAAGAGCTAAGGAGAAGCATACAGCAAGCAGCAATGTGCTGAGGAGTGGGGTCGTAATTTTAAATAAGGTGATTAGGGCAGGCCTTTTTGAAGGTGACATTTGAGTAATAAAAGTAATCTGTGGCTGGGGCTCGGTGACTTACGCCTGTCATCCCAGCACTTTGGGAGGCCAAGGCGGGTGGATCATGAGGTCAGGAGTTCAAGACCAGTCTGGCCAAGATGGTGAAACTCCATCTCTACTAAAAATACAAAAATACAAAAATTAGCCAGGTGTGGTGGCACATGCCTGTAATCCCAGCTAGTTGGAGGCTGAGGCAGGGAATTGCTTGAACCTGGAAGGCAGAGGTTGCAGTGATCCGAGATCACGCCACTGCCTGCCAGCCTGGGTGACAGTGAAATTCCGTCTCAAAAAAAAAAAAAAACCAAAACTATTCCAAATAAAAAAAACAACAAGTACAAAAGCCATGAAATGGAAGTATGCAGTGTATGTTTGGGGAGTAGTTAGGGATTCAGTGCTGGGGAAAGCGACGTGAGCAAGGGGAGGAAGAGTAGCAGAAGATGAGACCAGAAGTAAGAGTAGAGCCAGATCTTGCTAGACTTTGTTGGCTAGCGGCTTTCAGCATTCGTGCACGTTGGAACTACATGAGGAGCTTTAAAAAATACTCATGGATGGGTCTCACTTGCAGAGATTAATTTAATTGATCTGGAGGTGCAACTGGGACATTCGGATTTTATAAAAGCTCCCCCAAGTGATTCTAAGATGCTGTTAAGGTGGAAAAACACTGTAGACCATTATTGGGACTTCGGCTTTTACTTTTGAGGAGGTTTGGAAGTCATTGGATGGTTTTGTCATGGAATAATTTTGTAATTAACTTTAAAACTGGGGTTTTGTTTATGCTTTTAATTAACTATAAAACTGACTCCCATTGTTTGAAGTGGTTTGTGATATAACTCAGATTTGTCTCAGTATAAAAAGATACACTTTTCACAGTTTGGCCAAGGATTATCTATTTTATTTTCTATACTATTAGTTGCCTTTCAGTTTTCACAGTTCACATTTGTCTCCTCTTTCCATCTGTTTCTGCTTATCATCTTTAGCGTCCTTCCTTTTCCTGTATCTGTCTACATTTCTTTAAATTCTGGACTTCAGTTTAATTAATAGAACTTGAAATGTAGCATTGTATAAAAAGATTTTAACCGAAACATTTGCATTTGTCTTATCTGAGCTGTCTTAATCCAGTGACTGACAAAGCAAAGTTGCGTGAAATTAACATTTTTTTCCTTCTTGTAATTTAAAACTTGGTTCCTGTATACCTTCCTGGAACTTTATACTTTTATATCTTTTCTACCATTTCTGTAAAACCTCAACTGCAGGGTGCAATAATGGACCTTATTTTCTATATTTCAGCAGGACAGCTGCTGAAAGTGGGTTTAAACTCACTGGCATTATATCCCACACAAAAAATACTACTTTTTGACATGTTTAGAAAAAAGTCTGCCTTTAATGTCTTTGTAATTTACCTCTAATTTGTTGAGTTACATGTAAGTAACTTTTTTTTCCCCCCTGTCTTTTGCTGTGTTTCAATGGATTTGCCTCTCCTGTTTGGACCGAATATGTCATTACAATTCTTGGAATTCTTTGTTTACTGTGCCTCTGTGGATTTCTTCTGTTGGAATCTGGAACACTGGAATGATGGAAATGTGTTCTTTACAAAGTAGCTGTGAGTATACTACATAATTTATACAGAGATTTTTTTCAGTCTCAGTTAAATTTAACTTACAGTTGGATGAAATATGAGCCAAGGAAACCTTAGGTTTAATACATATTTCTAACTCCACTCATAGCAGACTTTCAAATATTTGACTTAAAGATATTAGATTCTGATTAGTCTCTTAATTATTATGTTTACAGTTAGCTCTTCATTTTAATGGGCTTAGTTTTTAAAATTTGGCTTAAGAATTAGTTTTATGAAATAAAAGCCAAAGATTATGGATGGAATGTTTATCTACATGACTAGTAAACATTGTAGACTTCTGTTCTTTGTTAAATCCAAATGTATTGCATTGATGTTTTGATCTCATGAGTGCTTTTTAAATGAGAATTAAACGTGGCAGAAACTTTTAAGAGAATGTGTGCCTCTTTTTGCTATTGTTTTTTATGTTGAGATAAGACTACCTCCAAAGTAAAATTAACCAATAAGACTCTGCTTATTCAGATAGTCTTAACTGTGGACAATATTTCTCACATGTGGGTAAGTTAGAAGTCAGACTTATTTACTACACCAATTTGGAAGTAGATTTCTTTGAATTACTCATGAAACTATTGTTGAGGTCATCTAGGAATAAAAAACCAATAGAAAATGAAGTTATAATTTACTTTAAAACTTGGATAAACCTGAAGATAAAGGCAGCAGGATCATGTGAAACCTTGAAGTGACAAAATTGGACCTGGCATAACAGCGTGAATGATACTGTAGCTGGTTGGCACTGATCACAAGAGCCTTCAAGAATTTATTTTTAAAAATTGCTTTAAATTCAACACTTTGATTTCATTTCATGAATAAGAAGACAAATTTCAAGAATCTCATACTTGTGGTAATTAGTGTGATCAAAGGAGATAATTAAAAAGGATTCTTAATATTGTATGAAGGGGATTTGAATTTTTTTGTTGTGAAAAATCCTGTGTTATTTTGCTTTTTTAGTTGGTTGGTCAATCATCTTGTTACTAACTGCTGTCAATTAAAATCTTTGCTCTGAGGCAGGTTTTCTAAATTTTTATTTCATTCCCTTGGATTTTTGTAATTAACCATTATATTGTCAGTCAACTCATGCTCAAATAATTTTGTCCATTTAAGAATTGATAGTTTTATTGATAATGCCATGGAATTAGTTTGATTTGCTGTGAATAATAGTATAGTTTTCTAAAATAGGTTCATGAAGGGAATTTGAAATGTGTGACAGAATAGTATTGTTGATACATGAATAACTTGGCCCTTTTTGCTTTTGTCAGCAACAGAAGAACCTTGAAGGCTATGTGGGATTTGCCAATCTCCCAAATCAAGTATACAGAAAATCAGTGAAGAGAGGTTTTGAATTCACGCTTATGGTAGTGGGTAAGATATGATTCCTTATTGAAATGGAACTTTGGTTTAAGTTTTAAACCGTTAGTCAACTCTGAATGAATTTAAGAAAATACTAGCACAGATATCTATAGTGATCATATCTTTGTTATATTTTCTCTTAGGTGCATACATTTTAAAATTTAACTCGGTGGCATAATGAGATTTATGTCGTCTTGCCTCTTTTTTAAAGGTAGAAACTAAAAGTTGAGAAATGGTAGGTGATAGTGTTGGAGTGGAACTCTAGAGAAGTTATTTTCAATTGGTAGTGCTACAAAAGAAAATAGCATCTGGTGGTTATTACTCCCGGATAGTTTTGTTTTCTGGTTTATGTGCTATAGTGGAGTATCATGTAAGCATTTAACTTAATGTGCTCTGAATTTTGAAAAGTAAGGTAGGATAGAGGATCATAATAATGTAGTTGATTACCGTTGGAATTCATTAATTGAATGTAAGCACTGGAATGAGTAAAATATGACTCTCCTCATCCTCTAATTCAGTTTCAGTTTTCTTTTGTGTTTCATTCCACGAACACCTTACCCTGCCTATATAGTCCATTTGAAAATACTGTTAAGGATAATTTTGACTGTAGGTTGGTAACATCATTATTATATATGAAGAAACGTACTGTGCCTTTCCCATTTGTAAGATTAGTCATCTTCAATGACAATCTTATTCTTAAATGACTACACAGTATTTTCACCTCATATAGGCTGACTTTAGAACCCAAGTTATGAATATTGTATAGTGTAACTTTGTTGTATTTCTCTTACTTGTTTTAAGAAGGTGAATTGCAGGTTAGTGGATTAGCTATCCCTAACAAAGAAAATTGAGTTGATGCTAGACTTTTTAGGTAGTATACACTTTTGTTAATTATATTTCAACTCTAATATTTTGATGCTGAATTAGGTTAATTGAACTAGCTGTGAAATACTCCTTTATTGGGAGGTAGAATATTTTATCTACTGACCGCAATATTTTACCTGTTGGTCAGTTTTTGGCTCTTTGGAAGTTGTATACATTGTAAGAGTTCACAGTTAAAACATGGTACAAAATTTGCAAATTTGATACTTTATAGCATTGGTTACCTTGTCTGTGTATCTCTTGTTGAGTAGAAGTGTAGTATATCTAGCTTGCAAACTGCTGCTGTGGAATAGAGGTCCGTCTAGATAGAGGGATAAAATAATGCAGCGCATACCTTTTCTTCAGCAGGTTGGTAACATCATCATTATATGAGAAACACTGTCTCTTACCTCTACATGTGTAATATTAATAATCTTAAGTGACAAACTGTAGACAAATAGAATTTTTTCACTTATGAGAAAACCTCCTAGGTCCATTAGGAGAACTGTAACAATTTAAAAAATTTTCCTTTGACATTAGAATTTTAGTTTAAAGAATAACTTTTCTAATCATACTTAGTAGGATAATGTCTGGTGATCAAGGCCAGAGAGTTGATTTAAAATCTCTGTGGCATTTTTCCAAATGAAAAAAAATCAAATAGTGATCTGATGTTGATTTTTAGAGGAGATATTCAGTCTCTAGATGTATATTACTTATTAGCTTTTCTAATTAATCCCTTTGTGAAATGCAGCTTTTCTTTTTTCTCTTCCTAATGATAAGATGTCAACTGAGGCCAAAAAATAATAGGTGTTAATATCCTTATTTTCAAGTGTTAATATCTTTACTCTGTTTTCCCACTGAGCCTTGAACATTGTTTAATTAACTACATTTGAATAGATATGTTGAGTGCAGGTATTAAATATTTTCATCTATATAGGTGTAGTGCCTAATACGTAGTCACTTACTAAGTATCTAATCACTTAGTATCTAATATGTTGATTTATTTTTCAGATTTTAGGCTGACTCTAACAGCATCATTTGCAAATCATAGAAAGCTAAAACCAACCTTGCTTTAATATTCTTGACTTAAAAACTTTCAGCTATTCCTTATGAGCTAAATCCTCATTTTTGGGATCTAAACTCAGAATAAATTTGGCTCCCACATTACAACTCTTCGTTTACAACTTACACATTGATATCAACTGAGAATCTGTAACAGATTTTTTTATTGAACTCTTTGTACTTTATCGGAAAACCTTTAATAATCTTGCTTCATAAGCAATGTTTATTGAGTTCTTGCTTGAGTGACTTATTTGTATCAAAGAAGCATGCTGTGTATTCCCATATTTTCTCTCTTAAAGGAGCTTCTGATTTATATGACAAGATAAACCACATAAAAATGGGGTCAGTAGAATCATACAAAAGTTTAAGGATATAGAGCCATAGAAATTTAAGGGTATAGGAGAGTTTGCCTTGGTTGGAGATTATTATTGCCTTCTTTTGAAAAGGGAGGCATTAGGACAAATTTTTGAAGGATAGAATTGGGGCCAAGATTGAGGAAGCATTCCTGTTGGGGGAAATAATAGCCATCATTTACATAACTTTTTTACGTGTGAGGCAATGTTTTAAGTACTTTATGGACATTATCTACTAACTCACAATTCTTACAACAGCCCTATGAAGTAGATATTGTTACCCCATTTTGGAGATGAAGAAACTGAGGCATAGAGAGATTAGGTTACTTGCCCATGGTTACATTGCTAGCAGATGGCAGAACCAAACCCATTCTACTGCTCAGTCTGGTGTGTTCTTAACCACCATGCAGAGGCTTATCTGGGGATACTGGGTATAGTGCAGTGTTTATAAGACTACATCCAATATGCCTTGAACTGAGATGAATTCAGTGAAAGAGAGGATGAATGAGAATGAGAACTAGTGAACTTAAATAGTACAAGTAATTTTTCCTGTTATTCCACTAGAATAAGCGTCTGGCCTAGAGTGGGTGTGAAATGGGGGAGGTGCATTTGCTATTTTCCTAGTCATTATCAGCTTCCACATAGTTTGATAGTATGAACTTCTCAGTGTGCTGAATGTTATAGTCTAGTGACAACAGGGCACCTAAATACAAATCGATCACTTTTTATGTGCTCAAAGAAAGTTACCTATTTTAGTGGAGGAGGAAGATAGGTTGTTAGCTTATATGTAATTGTGCTTTATGGATGATATAAGGAATTTTTCAAGATTTTTTTCACAGCATACTGACTTTAGGATCTGACCCCTAAGATGTAACTTTATAATTAGAAATAAATCTGGAAAGGTAGACTAGCCAGGATTTTGGAAACCCTGATTGGCAATTTCATGGGGAGATTAGAATTCTTGATTTTGAATCTTGAAAAATTTAGGCATATCAAGTAATGAAGACATGTAGATCTCTATTCATTGAAGTTGTCTAACCTGTTTGGCTTAGAACTTGACTGTCATTAGTGTGCTCCCTAATTAGACTTAACTGTGATAGAGAATAAATTTTTAATTGTAATATCCTGTTTTTGCTAGAATTCTTCAAGGAGGCAGAACTCAGAAGACTGTAGTTTGCTTTATGTAACTTGAAATAGTTTTTAAAACAGGTGGTATTAAACCTATTATTCTGAATCCTAGGAAGATAGAATCCAAAATTCAGTCATTTCTGTAATCTTGAACTTTGCAAAATTTTTGTGATTACAGAATTTTAAAAATTTAATGATATGTCAATAATGTGTTTGACCTATGCCATATGTCTTTTAGTGGCAGATTGGCATTTCCATTTTTTTTTTTTTTTACAGCGGGAGAGAGCTTAGAACATGTTGGCTTAGCCATTTTTTGGGATTCAGAGTTTATCATAATTTTTTTTTTTGTATATGCCTTAACAGAGAAAGTTTACGAGTTATTTAGTTAGCGATAGTATATACGATGACTATCCTAGTTGTCATTTTCCTCCACTACCTGTTGATGTTTGAGTTGATAGAATAACATTTATATCAGTTTATCAGTTATTTGAAAAAATGGAAAGATAATATTGACTCAAAATTTTGTATCTAGGCTGTTGAGTATTTTGTGGTATTTTTAAGATATGTTAGCTCCTTGAAATGCTTTGAGTTATGATTTTAAGGTTTTTCCTTGAGCTCCGTATTTTTATTTTGCTTTTATTAATAGAAGTAACTTAACCGATAATGACTTCTTCACAACATTGGGAATATCCTAAAATCCATTGATTTATACACTTTAAAATGGTGAATTTTATCTTAGAAAAAGTAATTCAAAGAGAAAGTTTAGAAGAAAAAAAATCACATAATTCCACATGTCCACTATTTTAATTTTGTACATTCCTTCTAGCTGTTAAATCTGATTATTTTTAAAGCACTTAAAAAATGAAGTTAATATATTTCATTGCAGAAATTGGAAAATGCAGAAGAGCAAAACGAAAATAAATATTGTCATCTGTCATCTATTGATCATAACTCTTAAGTATAGGAACATTTAGTATTCTTATGTGTATCTGTAATGTTCTATGATTGCCTTTTAAATGTGCAGTTAAATTGTGATTATCTTGTGATATCTTAACGTTCTTTCATAACCTATCTAGAGACGTGGGTTTCACCCATGTTAGCCGAGGATTCGTCTCAATCTCCTGACCTTCGTGATCGCCGCGTCTTGGCCTCCGCAAATTGCTGGGATTACAAGGCTTGACACGCGTGCCCGG